TTTTCCTTTTGGTAAAGGAACTAACTCCCAAGTAGCATTCTTGTTCAAGGCTTCCATCTCAACATGCATTGCATCTACCCAGTTTGGATCAGAAAGAGCATCCTGCAATTTAGTTGGCACACATACACTAGATAATTGACACAAATATGATGCATATGACTTAGATAAACGATGAGTGGACATATAATGGTTAATGGGATATTTAGACTTAGAATGTATATCAGGAGAATATTGCACTTTAGGTTTCCCACGGGTAGTACGTGGGGGCAAAGAATAGGTAGGCACATCACTAGATTGTTGTGGCTGTTGCTGTTGCTGTTGAGAGGAATTACCACCCAGTCCAAAAATAGGGACACCAATAAGAACTTGAGCTGCTGTGTTCACAATAGCCTTTCCCAGCTCCTTCCCTGACTTATTCCGCCTAACAGGTTGTCCACAAACACCAGCGGCAGGGATATTGCCATTATTATTATTATTATTATTAAAACTATTATTTGGCACATAGTTTTGGAACTGATGAGGATTAGCTGAAATAGTACTTGTTGGAAAACATGGAGTTCCAACAAAAGCTGCTTGTGCTGCTGCTTGAATTTGTTGATTTGAGGGAGGAGGAGGAGCTCTTGGTTTCGCCGTGGCGCAGCCCAAATGAGCAGTGAAACCGCAGGGATTGCACATGTAGAGCCACTCTTTGTACCCAACTTGGTTGCATATATTACATATGAAGGTCTTGCTGTTGTTAAATCCTGGAGGACGTGAGAAAGAGAGACTGAGCTGGTGAGCGTGGGATTGGTGAGTGAGAACCAATGGCTTTGAAGCACAAGATGGGTGGAGGTCAATGCTGCAAGCTCCACAATGGTAGGCAAAGCCATTCCCGTGCTTCATGCATGCATCGCAACTGAAGACCCCATCTGGGTATGTTGGGGTTGGGATCAGAATCAGGACATGGCTTTGATGATCATATGGGTGAGTGATTTGCTGAGGCATTTGTGAGCATGGTATGTGGAGGAAGTAATTGCATGGTGTGCAACTATAAATCCATCCACCAGAGACACTGAGTTTGCAGCATGCACATGAGGCTAGCTGCTGCTGCTGCAGGTTTAGGGTTTGCTGCTGGGGTTGGTGATTGTAAAGTCTTAAGGGACGGGGGTGGCTAAAATGTTGAAGATCAGGCTGAGGTTGACCATTCAGCTTCATCTCTCTCTCTCTCTCTCTCTCTCTCTCTCACCCACAGAAATTCCTTTTTCTGATGATCTCTTGTTCTCTCTCAAGTCTCAACTGGTATTAGATTGTGCTCTTATAATAATTTCATGCAATTATGTGCATCATATTGAGTCTAGCTAGCCTTAGTCAACTTAACCATAATGAGACATATTGCCGGGTCAATATATATGTATATAGCATTTATATAACCAATGATATTGGTGGTGAAACATTTTTTTCAATGAAATTATTAATTGATTCTTGAGTACTACTTGGAAGCAAGTTGCTGGTGGGTGGCTATGTCTTGATATATGCAAAGACTCCAGAAGTCAATCCTTCCCCGTTTGATCATCTGCAGGGTTGTTGCTGCTGCTGCTATTTTTCCCAATGGAACAAGAAGGGTATATATGCAAAGAAAAGAGGAGTAAGGTAATCAAATAAGTTTACTTAAGCTAACAAGTACGCTAAAAATTAAATATATACGTGACGCAAGGCAACCTTATGTTGAAGAATATTTTGCCACCTTTAAAGTACGTTATATTATCCTTATCTCGCAAAGGACCCATTAGTGTGGTTTGGAGGAAGCAAATGTTTCCCTTAGGAATGGTCTTGGGTTTGAGTCCTAGCATCCGTGTAATGTGTGTGAGTTTAGTATGTTATCGCCCCTCTCAATGGGAAAAGATTCTTAAAATATATATATTATCCTTACCTCATGATTAATCCACCTAAACAATATCTACATTTTTCTTATTTCTCAGTTACTTACTAGCTTACTTGAACCCATCAAATCAAACCTACATGTTTAGAATATCTTTAGATATTATCCTTATATTTTGTCATTCAAGGGAGAGGCAAAGGGAGACAGAGACAGAGTGTTCCGAATATTTTGTCAAGGAATAGATGGCACCCAGAGAGATTTTTTTTTTTTGGTGGAAGCACCCAGAGAGATATATAGCAACCAAGTCACAGACTATATCCACTAAAGATGAGATGTGTGCCTTTTGAGTTCATTATGCCCTGTGCTTATTTAATATTATTATACAGAATGTTGGTAGAAGGATACGTCCGAAGTGTATTAACCAAATTGCAAAATGCAGTTGACGTCGACCTTCTGACGTCTGTGGCAATAAGGAATAATAATGATCACCCAACTAGCTAGAAAATAAGAAAGAGTGATTTGCATACCTAAAATAAATTAATATTTGCACTCTGATATTGACTTTAATTAGTAGGAGCCAGATCTCAGATGATAGTCTGAAAAATTTATAATTAACTGTTGGTCTAGTGATATTTTCTTTTTTCAAAATACTACTGGCAGAGGTCTCAAGTTCAAATTCTCTCATCTGTTAATTTTAAAAAATTCAACAATATAATTTATTTTGATACACTAGTATCTAATTTAAGTTGGAAAAATACCAAGTAAAAGCAACCTGAAAGACATGAGAAAACCAATCGGCTTAATTCTTCTGTTTTTTTTTGTTGCTGGTTCAGCAGTTGACATTCTCATCTCGTAACCACTTCATCCTATATCAAAGATTCGAGGGATTGGGTTATGTATTGCTACTTCAATATAGGAAAATATACCCTTGTAATTAAAGGGCCTGCACCTCTTTTTTTTGGGGTATCAAGATAAATCCTCTCATGCTCCTAAACAAATCCTGCACTAATTAATACCTTACTAATTACAAGGGAAGAAGCATGGGAAAGGGCTAGCAAAGGTCAAAGGAATCATATGTATATCATATTATTGGTAGATACAAGACCCAGTCAAAATATATTGAGATGGGAATAAGTTGACTCTTACCATACATTTCAGACCACTTTATCTGACCACATTTTAGTCGTCGCCACGATGTGAACATAACTAGACTAGCTACATATCTTCCTCTCTCAAAAATCATATAATACATAATAATATATGATTCATTAGAAGATCATCCAATCGGAGAAAAATAAAGAAAGCCAACGGAGAGACAGAGAGAGAGAGAGAGAGAGAGAGAGAGAGAGAGAGAGAGAGAGAGAGAGAGAAG